TCCAGCTGTGCTGGGGAAGCTCCGGCCAGGGGTGCAGGGTCTGGAGGCTGCCCGGCAAACCGTGAAGCCAGCAGCACTCAGGCAGCCCTTTTTGCATGGCTGAGAGGGAGGAGGGGGAGTTAGGGCGGGGACTTTGGGGAAGAGGTGGAGTTGGGGCGGGGAAGGGGCGGGGGCGGGGATGGGAAAGGGGCGGGACCAGGGCCTGTGGAGTGTCCTCTTTTTTTATTTTTTAAATATGGTAACCCTACCTAATTTACACATATATTTACATATGATTTTAATAGGCAACAAACACTCAAAATGGAGCAAGCATCCACAAGATATTACAACACAACAGATGGACAAAATATGCTTTGAGCATTGCAGGAAGAGGCATGATAATGGTAGGACTTCACTGTCTCTCTAAAACCTGTTTCTTGGCTGTCTAGCTTTATCTTGGTGGTGACATGTGTAATACAGCAAGGGTCCAACTCTGTTAGGCAATTGCAGTACTTTGATTTCTTTTCCCCTCCAGAGTTCCTATTTACAAATAAGAATTCCCAAAGAAGCTTGCACAAACACCAGCCCTCTTATTGGTGGGAGGCAGCATGGCCTAATGAACAGCGGCTTAGGTTTAGTTTAGGTTCCAAGAGGCTTGGGTTCTAATCCCAGCTCTGCCACTGACCTGCTAGTTGACCTTGGACAAATCTCTTTCCTGCTCTGTGATTCAGTTTCCCCATCTGTAAAAAAGGGATAATGATACTGACCTTGTTTGCAAAGGACTGAGATCTATTGATAAAAGCACACTACAAGTAATAAGTATTTCTATTTGTATTATTGTGGCATCTAGGAGCCCCAGTCACAGACCAGCACCCCATTGTGCTAGGTGTTGTACAAACAGAGAAGAAAAAGATGGTCCTTGCCGCCCCAAAGCTTACAATTTAAGTATAAGACAAGAGACAACACTAGGGTTACCATACGTCCGGATTTTCCCGGACATGTCCGGTTTTTGGGGGCTCAAATCCCCGTCCGGGGGGAAATCCCCAAAAGCCGGGCATGTCCGGGAAAATCGGGAGGGAGGGAGGGCTCGGCTGGGGCCTCTTTGTCTGGGGTCGGCGGTGCGGGGCCGGGGCCGGTGCGGGGCCGGGGGCATGGTGCCGGGCCGGGAGCCGGGCC